TTTATTCCATTAAAATTTGCAAAAATCAGAAAATATAAAAAAATGGACTTAACCGCATTGGTTTTTGAGCGACTCATATGTATACATATATTTTTGATCAGTATCATGAATTTATTACAAGACTACAGCGTGTTACAAAGAAAATATTAAATTCCGAAAAGTAATCAAATTTAAACTACAACAGTACTTGTATTTGCTTCAAACAATACATTGTAATCGTTTCACAAAATAATAATTATTCATGCTTTAAAATTGTCATAAACCTATCTAGAGCTGTTTGCGATAAATTTCAAAATAAATATATACCATATCTGACCCGCTATAAAATTTCTTTGTCAAATATGTTTCAAAATAAAATGTTATTATTTATTAATGATTGAACTGAAAGCAATACATATTCTGAAACATAGTGAGATTTATTTATAAACTGTATTCGATTTATTATCATTTCATTATCATATTCGCTTGTAAGTAGAATATCAAATGAAATAGAAGTTCGGACAGTTCTCAGATTAGAAGTCATTGTTTATTCCGTGACTTTTTTATTAACGCAGGAAACACGGGTCAATATTGATGTGGCTTTGGCGGCTGACGAACGTGTTCATTATGTCATGCCAGATAAGCGAGACACAAATAATTTTTACTTATGTAACAAAATTGTTATTAAAATATTTTTTAAAATAAATAAAAATACGTTACAGATGTAACATTCTAAAAGAATATAAATAAAGGACAAAATATGGGAGACTAATTATTTGTATATGTCCCATTAATAATTTAGATGCATGGCTGTTGAGTTTAATGCTGAGTCAGATGGTACAGGTAAGTATGTGTAAATGTTCTGAGAAAGGTTAATTTATATATAGATATATAATATATATATGTATATATATAGGGTGTTCCAATGGTTCTGCGCGTAGAGAATTTATTGGAATTTTACTGAAAGTACCGACATAGTTCTCTTATTAAAATTTATTTTCTCCTTGCAAAGGATACTTCGAATTCTATAACAAAGAATACTTTTGATCCCTCAATTCCATTGATAATCACGTTGTTATAAAAATATATAAAAATCAATATTACTGTGCTAATAAAGCATCCTTTCTTATTCGTGATATTCTGTCTTGTTATTATAAAAAATATTTAAACCCCACCATTCATTTAACCAATTACAATTCTGAATTACAATAAAAAAGTTTCTCATCATTATAAGATTCTTTATTGCCTTACGTTAAGTAACGACGAATATTAAGTGGATTAAATGAAGTTAAGTTTATCTAAGATTAAATTAATTTTAAGTTTAAAATGGTAAAAACTTAATTTCTATACTTAGTACATTGCACTTGATCGTTCAAATTTTCACGAATCTCAATTGCTGTTAATAATGCTACTTAAATTATTGGAAATAGATCCCCACGAATCTTCTAAAGAAAAGAAAATTTTCCTTTTAACTCAATACAGTCAACAACGGGCTATTGCGGAGCGATTACTCAACTGCCCGATAGATATTTATTTATCGTCCCCCCACCGCCAACGAGGAATATAACCGGAAGAAACAGAACACTGGAAACGAGAGAAATTACAACTTAAATATAAATCACAAAGTTCGAAAAGGTTGATAGTTGGCAATGATCCTTTAAACGGTTATTACTGGCTGCCTGGTAAATGGCAACGCCGGTTTGCGTAGCATGCAGAATTTTACAATCGTGCGAGGCCTATTTTTAACTGAATCTGTTTATTTTTGCTTGAATTTGGTCAGGCAGGGAACACATATAGGGCGACCCACGCACGCGACTGGTCTGTTTGAATATCGCTGCACCATCGCGAAAACAGAAGTTCCGCGCATATATATTAACATCGAGCAAAAATGCAAATAAATAAAAAGAAAACACTAGCGACGATTAACATTTTCAAGTCACTCCGTGCTCGATAATCGTGAAGTTACGTAACCAAACGATAGACGGAAACAATCTTTCAAACAAATTACAGTACGCGGGAGGGCGAGAGATAACACCAATGAAGAGGAATTTATTAAAAGATACATTACCGAAAAGATAATTAATTCTTATGAACTTCGTTTGGCACGTATGTTTTCTATGATATTTATCTCTTATCGGGCAGTTTGGTAACATTGTTAATAACACGTACGTAGGATAGTACATTTCGTGATGTCATGGTAAATAAAAATTTAAATTTTACGATTATTTAAAAGGAAATATTATTAATAATATGAACAATACAGTATTAATGATACACAGTAATACTATGATCAGTAATGACTAATAATATTAATAACATAAATTTATACATGGAAGGTATTTTTGAACGACTACGTGCTCGTGTTATTTCGATATATTGTCTACTAATATTTAATGTTTGATCCAAGATTTATGGGATGACTAAAGGAAAACAGAACGACGAGAACAATATTATAGTTTCACACGTTCAAGTTCAAACGTGATTTTCGCGGTCTAATGATTTTCCTGGTTAGAGCTGCAGTATAACCTGAATCAGACGAAGTTACTGAAACGATTTGTACGGTTGTGAACTGTTAGATTCATTAACGTTCTTGACCTTTGAATCATTTTTTACTGTTGCCACATATTACGACATGACGTCAGTTTCCTTCATACAGGTTGAGAGAAGTTAATTTAGTCGAACGTGTAGGAAGACAGTTCTTAAAAATGCTGAATACAAGATTTATTAACGCTTAAACCGCCAGCATTGTAAAAATGCAACGTTATCTGAATGTAATTAAATCGTTGGCGTTTCTTTACTGCAATCTATAATAAGATATGCAACGTTTGTGCTTCCTAAGCATTACCTACAATTCTAGAGTGAAAATGATGCACCGTATGAGCATTACGTTAATTTTTCCTTAGAAAAGTAGGTTCTTGAAATTTGCAAAGTAAAAGATGTCACCTCCTAACACTATTGATGGTCACATGCAAAAGGAAAATTGCATTTAAATTATAGACTACATTATTGTTGTTATATTATACAATACTAAATTATATACTATAGTCTTTCTATTATAATTTTTTCCACTTTACTGCAAAGTTTTGTACGAAAATTCGTCAACTGATAAAATCGAAGAATAGTAAAGTTCCTTAAAACCTGATATTTAAGAAGTTGTATTTTATTTTTAATTTTGAACGTGCTAGAAACTATTGCCTTTAAATTGTGGAAATAGCTAAATGTACATTTCCAAATTTGAACTTCGAAATTAAAATAAATGAATTTAATTAGTTTTTACTTTAAAAATAAAGAGAGGAGTCCTTAAAAGTTAAGATACAAGGAACAAATAGAATATGTAACTGCTGTAACAGAAATGTACAAAAGAAAATGCACTATATCCCAACAAAAATATCGATAAAACAAACAACCTAATATTCTTCCATAATTTTGCACGTAAAATCTGTATGTAGAAAATTACCATCTAATCACTGGCTTACATAGTTGTGAACATTTTGCTTATTCGCAGCGACTCGCGGAAGTAATTCCATCCTCGTTTCTCGGAAAACCTTTTCGGTCGTATCAACAACCAATTTCTTAGTTGCATTCTTAACCGCGTTCCTGGTCGAAGACTAGGTAAGTCAAAACTCTTATGCCATCGTAGGGTGAGAAACGCGTTACAATGTTATTGCAAAGTATTTAACAATTTATCAAAACATCGTTGCATGTTATACAATGCAAAATTGGTGTGAAAAATTGTCCTATGTATTCGTAACAAATAAAAATTGTATTACAAGCACGAAGAGAGTTTTTTTTAGCTATAAAATGAGTACAAGCAAAAGTAATATGGTCAAAGTAGAACAAAAATATCAACGATGAATCGGGCACTGTTAGCCGTTCGGTGTCATTGTCAACGTTTATTCCTTTTAGAGATCACTTCTCTAAGCTTTTGTGCATCAGTCTCACAAAAGCTATCGAACTGCAAAGTCTAAAATAAAAGTTATGAGTGAACTATTAACGTCTTGTTCGTGAATGCTGTGGTTTTGTAACGGGCTTGAAATTAGAGCAAATGGATGGCCATAAAGTTTCATATGAAATTTGGGGAATCAGTAACAAAGGCATAATATGCACCAGCAGATTTGTAACGATAATGCTACGCATCTAACTCGGTGTATTGAGTGGAATTCGCCCTCTAATACATCCGGGACCCACAATGTGGGTCGTGTAAATAACATATACTATAATACATATTCTATTATTGTGATGAGAATTGCCTGAAACGAGTTTCTCTTGCTCTTATATTCTCCAGTTTTACTTGTTTGTTACTATAACAAGCTGGAAAGTTTCAAAGTCTTTGAAGCCTAGCAAAAACTAATAGATAAGAATAACTAATGGTAAAAGCTAAAATTATGTAAGTTCACTAGAAATATTTCTACAAGTGTCAGTTCTTTTTCATCACATCATGTATATTTTCCCATTTTGCGTGATTTCAAACATCAACATTCAATATCTCGGAAACAATTTAATCTAGAGTACGAAAATTATACAAAAACTCCGGGAACACACAAAATTCTCTAAGAAGTCCCATGTTATAAAACGATCCTATGTAGTAACTATACATCACATTCTGATTCGGCGATGTCTCACACGTGTCAACGTTCAAGGACCACCTCTCGGGCAGTCGCTTAACTCGTAATTGAACGTTGACCACCGTTGGCACTGTATAAACTTCGGGAATCCCGGTTACTCTTTGTATTCCACGACCAGTAGAAATATAATTCGCTAGTCTCCGGTGAACGGGATCAACGATATCCCACATGACTAAAAGAGGCATAACAATCCCGACTGAACATCCACAGGATATCGTCAACCTTCACCCTCTACCGGCTCTTCCGCCCCACCGTTTTGTACCGCTACCATTCAACCCCTTCACCTCATCAGCTCTTCACTGATAGTAGCCTCCAGCGTTATCAATACTTTTGAAGTGTTGTCCGTCATGAAAGGTCCAGAGACATGATAAGGCAGGGTATAATATCACAGAAGTCGTTTTAAAAATTCAAGTTTGTTCAGTCTGGTAACTAGATTTATTCTCCGACTGAGAATTGTTGGTGGTTATTTTTCATGACGAGAAGTCAGGGAAGCAAGGAGACTTCACAATGTTCCAGTCACAATGTTTCGACCACCTTGGCTTTCGGCGCATATTTATTGGTACGCAACAATAATATAGGACGGAAGCGAGACGACATGCGACGGAGTGAGACGTAAAGGCCCCCCAAACACGTTGAAACATTTGGCGAAGCATGCATCGCAATAAGCAATGGGTTTTTCGATTTTTGTTTGAGTGCAACATGTCACGAAGAATAACCGCTAACACTTCTCAGCTGAAGAGTATAAACATTTACGATGTACTTAAAAAATAGATGTTCGGAATCTTAGAAACTAGAGCTTCAAGAACAAAGAATTGGGATACCTATTCGTATGGTTGCATCGATAAAAATCGACCTGAACAATCAGCGAGTAATGGTTATGAAATTTAATATCCGTCAAACTAACGAGTTCCGTAAATCAAGTGTTAAACAAATATCCGGACGTGGAAAGCACGTCGTTACGCCAGGAGTCGCGACTCCGATCGTTAAATCGGCGGGTTTTACAGCAGCCCGCTAACTGTACCGATCTGAAATCCCCGGGCTTGTGTAGTCAGCCAGCCAGCCAACAGCAGCCAGCGACGCTGACGCGCGCGGCTTTTCGTTGCGTTCCTTCGGTCGCACTCGCTCCGCTCGTAAATCGGCTACATTCGCGGAAAGACGAACGGTAGGAGGCCGACGCCGATAGCGGAATAACGCGGCTAACGAAACATTACGAGAATGCTAGGCACGCGATTTAGAGAGCCCGAAGGGGCTTTTCGGATTGGCCGAACGGCTCTGGCTCGCTTTCCTCTGTTATACGGCACTGTTGTTCGGCAGGATCGACGACCTCGGATCTCGCGTGATCCGATTCCGCCGCGGAAGAAGCATTTTCCCCTGGTTTTACGAGCTAGATCATTTTGCCCGCGATCAAATCGTCTTCGTTCCGAGATAATAATAATTATAGTGATTTTCGTCTGCACGCGTCGGGGTTTGGAACTTTGATTGTTTTGGTCCGATGGAAAGGTGGAATTATCTTCTGTTTTGAAGTTTGGACAATTTGATGGAAAAATAAGTTAATTTTGAAGCACTCATTATTGAGAAAATTATAAAATAAAATGGCATTTAGATAACATAAAAGATAAGGAAGCAATGTGTTCTTGATGTATTATGTATAACACAGAAGTAAGTATTATAAGCCTATATACCCCTTTTCCATCAATGGCCTAATTTAATGCAGATATTTCCTTTAGACACGTCTATGTTGATGTTGTGAAAGAAATACTTGTTTGTCCACGCGCGTCGTAGATTTGAGATTTAATCCAATTGGCATTTAGTCGGACACTGTTTTGTTGAGAAGTTATATCACACTCTTGCACGCCATTCATTACTTCGTCAACCATTAAATTGCTTTACATTTAAGAAATTAAGGTACCTTTTATGGAATTTGTTCTTGTTTCAAATCCTCCTTTAAAAACCACAGAACCGTGACATATTCCGTGGAGCAATGTTGAACGCTGATTTTTATAGACTTACGTAATTCATCGCATAAATTTTCTCTTCAAGCAGTTAAAGCATTGTTAAATACATGGTTCAAGTCTTATGCAGCTGTCCACGTTATCAGCTAGTACTGTATTGGTTAATACATAATATTTCTTGGTTCATTGGTTTCGTCGTCCTTGAACTGACTGGTTGGCAGATTATAAGATTGTTTAGAACTTGAAACTTCATTTTGGGTTTAATCTTTATTACAGATTCTACTCTTCGTACACTGAGACAAAAGTAAAGGAACTAAATTCAGCAAGGATAATACGATACATTCCCTTTCAATATTTTTGTGTAAACCATTGTTTGGGTGAAGCTCAAAAAATATACATTGTTAAAGAACAAAACAATTTCAACTCTTGTCGGTGAGTTTATGTATGCGCGATACAATATTTGATCTCTTGTCAGACGTCGAACTTCAAAGAAAATGTATGAAAAAAGAATTCGATCCTATCATTAATGAAATTCTTACAGATGTCAGTTCTTATTTTCATGTTTCTTCTATTGAATGGTACATAAGAAACGATACTAATTAAAGCAACACCAAACAAAAGGCAATATCCGTTAGTATTGAAACTAATAATTTGCCAAAGTCTGTAAAAAGATCCAATATTCAAGAAAGTAAAGTGAAAGGTAGATAATTAACACAAGAACTGTTGAATTTCCGCTTTTCTCCGCAAATGTTCGCTCAAGGTAGAAAGTTCTTACGTTGGGTGTCAATCTCACTATGTTTCTCAACATACGCGTTACGGATTTTCAATCGCAAGAGAAACAACAAAAACAGAACATTACGGATTACTGCTCTTTCTTAGCTGTCGACCGTTCGAATTACAAGTTGTCCAGGTGAGCAACAAAAAAAAACAGCGTCATTCCGTATCGTAGCCTGTTCGAGAATATGTTGGTCATCGTGAACGTTCATGTTGGACACGCTTTACGTCAGACTAAAGCTACATGTTCCCTTGAGAGTGTATCACGCATCATTTAATTTGAAATAGAATTGCTACACACGATGTTACATAACCTTGGGAAGACCAAGCCTCGAGAATAAGGAAGTGATTACTTATTTCTTTGAGAAATAATATTATTACTAAGATAAAAATAATTCGTCAATTCCTCAAATGAAGACATTATATAGAAATGCTGACTTTTACTGTGAATAAAAGTAAGAAAAATATATTATTAATTTTTTTTATAATAACATGTAACTAAATGAATTCAGCGATACACATTCATGTCAGCTATTGATCCATAAAGTCTAATAAAATAAACATTTTAAATAAATTTAATACAAATTTAATAGTTCCCTTTATTATTATTGTCACACTCTGCTATTTAATCTCTGTTTTCATTATTTCTTATCCTCTTCCAATTCTTAAGGGTGAACTCCCAACCCATGACTTTTAAACAACACTTAAACTTCGCTTACTTTATTCTGTGGGGTGGCAAAGAAATTTCTATACCAAATACAATAAAATTTCTATATTTGAAATGATTTTTTCAACAAGATCAAGATAAAAAATGTCTCGACTCAACTGTATTCAGTTAGTATAAGGCATTAAAAAGATGAGCTTGCATAAAGATCCACAGTCAACCGAATACTTTCCACTGCAAAATGCAACGTGACTCTACCTGACATTACCAAGGAATCAAGGACAAGATTGCTAAGGGTTGCGTGTATGTACGGGACGCATCATCGTGCCTTAGATGCGCCATGCAATCGGCATACTTTTATTTTACGGTTACGCGTTCCTATTCGAAACGCTGAACGCTGAACGTTGTTATTGACAGTCGCGTAAAATTCTTTTATAGAGTGGTCGCATTTCCGCGGGGGTAAACGCAAAACCCACCTCCTTGATCGTTGACCATGAGTCGTTCGACGACAAAACAAGAGGGACTCCATGTTTTCAGACGGCACGCAATTAACAGCGCACCCGTGGATTGTCTTCAAATTCATCTGACTGAATAATACGAGTTTAATTAATGAGGCACGGAAATACGGGAGCGGCCGATGAAGCGAATTGGACGGGTGTATGTGGGACGCGCTCGGGTGTGTGCCCGCGCTCGTATACGCGACATTCTCGCGTGTATTGGAACACTCCAGAGGAGAAACTCTTGGTATTAGTCTTATTGGATTGCTACAGAGGGATTTGCGAAGTCCTTGTTGGCAATTGACACAGTTCCCATTCATCACGCCGTGCCTCGCGTCTTTTACTAATTATCATTCTCTGAAATTTCGAGTCTAGTCAACCTATGCACGGTTTTTTTAAACTTTAGATGCAGGATTGCGTCAGATTTAATCCGATTATACGGGAATAGAAAAGAATAGATAAACTGTCAAAATCTATTAGAGACACGAAACCCGGGAGAAGCTCATTTCCGTAGCCGGTTTGTTTATTACGTTACGGCTATCTTTGTTCAATGATCGTTCTATGATACTCTAATGAACTCAGTCGATCCCTCCATTTTTCCAGTTTTATTTTCGGGGGTTGGTGGGTCTTCATTTATATTGAGCGAAGAATCAATAATTTGTTAAAACTTCTTGAACAAGTGATACTGTAGAGAAGCTAATTTCGAGAAGTTTAATCATTCTTTACATCGGCCCCAGCGTCTTTCTGCAATTAACTTCAAGGGCACTTTCGTTTTCAATTGATGTTAATTTTTACTTCGGTACTGAGGAGAATGTCGAATTTCGCTCGAGCCATCTATATGGAAAAAGATAATTTCGAGAAAGTTGCGGATGAAGCTACTTTCGAGAGTCAATTTATTCGTTGCACCGATATCGTCAATTGCTAATTGTTATTTTTCGAAATTCTCGTTTAATTCAGCAGCGGTTATGGTTCAAAATTTAAAGGATAATACACTATATTGCATTCTTTCATCAACCCAACTCTGAAAATTATTATTCCCCTGCTGTATCAATTTTTTTTTAGATCAAACGTTCCCGTTCATCTTATTTAATTTTTCCACAACTTAGTTACAGGGAAAACTGAAATACTTCGGATACTATTAAATTTGTTTATAAAAATAAAAAGAAATCAGTTTATTCCCAATACACCAGACTCATAAAATAATTTACAAAGCCTAGACGTAGCAAGCAAAGCAAAAGAACGTCAATAGAAAAATGCAAAAATAAAATATGTACTAGGTGACGACAACGAATGGAATACTTACTGTTAGTGTTCTAGAAAATCTACTTGATCTGAATAATCAACTTACATAAGGCGCATTATATACTTTTTTAGTTAGAATATGATAATCATATCGCGCGAAAAACGAACGATCAATCATTCACTCAGAAGACCTTTACCCATTCATTGTTGGTTATTATTTCCGGCTGTCGAAAGGAGCACCGGTAAACCATCGGCAAAACGAAACGACTCGTTTTCATTGGATTCGTTGCGCGTAAACTTATCGATAGTATTCAATGAAACACGGTCTGCGTTGAATCGAATACGTATGCCAATATGCGGGTCTCATTTCCAATCCCAAATATCACGCTCAGTTCTCTATAGCGGTTGGAGTCGCTTTGAAACTAGTGCCTGCCTTTCCCACCTGTTTCATTGCCGGTGGTTTCATTTAACGCGGAATAATGTTATAACTCCCGCACAGCGTATCGTGCTACTTTGCCGATTCATTATCTTACGTGCCAAGCAGAAACTCTTTACAATGAATAATATATTAGCCGAGCTACTTGTGGCGGACTCTATGCTAACAAATCGAATGTTGTTGCATGTTCGTATCTGTTAGAGCTCATAAATTGAGGAAATTGTATGTTCGGTATTCCTAAAGAAAATAATTGAGACAGACTTTTAATGAATTGTATGAATTGAAATATAATGATTATAAACAGATTCTACAGCAACAGTTGTTGGATACCAAAAGTATCTTTAAGAAATAATGTTTTATAATTTATATAATAATAAAAAATATGTTTATACTTCTTTGGTGGATTTTATTGAGACGCTTTAAATGAAGATAAGGTTTCTCTTTATAAACGTTACTAAAAGTTACGACTTTTTTAAAATTAAATTCCTAGGTATTAGTCTTTCACATATTTTTGTATTTGTGTCATAGTACTCCGCTATCTACACGGAAGGTCAAATGAAATCAGTTCCGCGTGAAACGTGTTAATGTAATACCATGAAAAATGGCATTAGAGATTATACATTTTGAAATATTCAGTTCATCTAGGAATAACATCAATTAAGTTAGAAACAGCTGTGATTCTCGATTGCAAACATCGAATTTCTTACTGTTATAAATGATTGAATACATTTATTTTCATGTAGTTGAGCCTTTCAGTTTTTAATGTCATTCCAATTACATAATGAATTGAAATGTATCTTGAAATACACTGCGAATGATGTATAACAATAAAACAGATTTCCATTAATTACGTTCTAGGTAATAAATGGTAATTTGCGCATTTTGACAAGCAAATTTATAAACCTCATCCATTATATAAACTAATGATAATCTCTAACATTTAAAATTTGTTCGTATATTATTGCCCATACTGTGAACCATATTTCATTTTACATAAATTTAATTTGATAATAAATATTTTTTTTGTATGTATAACGAAACTGTATAATGATTTTCACAGATATAAATATACACGTTGTTACTTTCTTTCGCATGAATAATAGTAGCTCGCATATTTCCGTGTCTATTGTGATTGAGAACCTCCGTTACAATGCACCTGTTGCAACAGCAATTTCGCCAATCTTCTTTCCCTTATCTTGCCAGCATCGTCGAAAACGAGCTTAATCAATAATTCCCTAACACCCTAATTGTAAGAACTTTAAAATATGCAATAAAATATCTAAACAACGAATTGTCGCAATAAGAATACACATAACAAAAGTAAAATTAAATTGTGCATCCTATAGAAACCTATGCAAAAAGATTGTACAATTCATTATATAATTTAAATAAACTATTGATTATTCGAACGTTCAGCATACAATAAAATCTTATTATATTATGCAACGCACAAGTGCAATTTTCTAAATGTACTAATACTACAGGAAATATAACCAGGCTGTGCAAAAAACATTGTACTCGACCGTCGTAACAAGTGGAATAATTATTAATCTTGCTGAGTAATAAGCAGCAAGGACGAACGCATTCGCCAACTGACTGAATTTAAATTTCCCTCGTCTTCTTTGCGTGGTTGGACGCATGGCCGCGTGGCGGCAGCATTTACGTACCCATGCTTCGAGGCTACGTCATTATGCCTTTGACAGAATATCGTATTGCTGAACATAATTACGGATGCACAATAGCCTATTACGTTATTTATAGTTATCGTGTCACTGGATGGGAGAAACTGAACGGTCGCACGTCACTGATAAAAACTGTTTATGATCGCATTATAACCTCAACGATTGTGAACGTTACACAGCACTTTCATTAATCTTTGCACTTTTGTCATACATATACAATTCTAGCATGATAATTATAAAATTATAATGTTTATCGTTAACGTGTAGATAATTTGAGTCACGATCGGTACACGGAACTCATCGGTGTTCTCAAGTACACCTTGGCAGCATTCCCTCGCAAACTATTTCCGTTCAAACTATTGGGCGGACCACCACGTGGTGTTCCAAATTAAATCGAACAAACGTGAAACGTTTGGTTCTTTCTTCATACACGGACAAGAACTTAGCGAAAATTTTAGACAAAACGTCAAAAAAAGAACAATGCATAACGGTGTGGGGTTACAGCTGGCACTTCGGGTCCAGATCACGTTCCAGCGACG